CCTCTCCTCCCCTCCCTTCCCTTCCCCTCCCTGCCCTCCCCTCCCCCCTCCTCTCCTGTCCCTCCCCTTCCTCATTTTTCTTTTCCTGGTTTAAGAAGGGACCTGACATAAGCAGACCTGTGTGCTATGAGGTGGTTATAGGCAGGTAGAAAAACTGGTTAGGGAGAATGAAAGTGAGGCAGAAATACCAATTAAGATGCTGATAAATCGTTTAGATAAGAAATATTGGGAGTCACCATTGGGTCAGTGACAGGAATCCTGCTTGGATAGAACTTAACTGAGAAGTCATTCCGGGAGCCATCGGCACTTATCAACTGAGGTCGAGTCATCAGGATCAGAGTCAAGAACTGGTGTAGCAGTGACAGAGGATGGCTCTTTGGGGACCCTCAAACCCAGGAGAATGAGACAGCCCAAGGGAAGCCAGGGAAAGGCGTGGGCCAGAATTAGGAGGAAAGCCAGGGTCATGCACTGCCATCTGTCAGTCATTTGTGAACTCAGATGAGAGCAATTTCCACAGTCGTGACGGTGAAGTTCAGTGAAACGATTGGCAAGGCAGGGAATGGAAAAGGTAAGAGCCTCGGCGTAAGACTGTGTGGTGCCTTGAGAGAGGGAACGATTAGGAGGGGCTCAGAAGAGGAGATACGGGGCAGACGGACTGGAGGGGACGATGGTAAAGGTAAAACACGCAAAGAGGAGAAGGAAAGAGATTGAGAGACCGTGGTCAGGGCAGAGAGGAAGTTCTGATCCGGTGGTGCTAGGTGAAGTTCAGTGAAACGATTGACAAGGCAGGGAATGGAAAAGGTAAGAGCCTCGGCGTGAGACTGTGTGGTGCCTTGAGAGAGGGAACGATTAGGAGGGGCTCAGAAGAGGAGATACGGGGCAGACCGACTGGAGGGGACGATGGTAAAGGTAAAACACGCAAAGAGGAGAAGGAAAAAGATTGAGAGACCGTGGTCAGGGCAGAGAGGAAGTTCTGATCCGGTGGTGCTGTGTTTTATTACCGCCCTTTGAAATGCCAATTAGCGAAATAATCAATACACCTGTCTTAGCCATAAACTTGTGAAATACTCCTATGGTGGGAATGGAGTTATTATTCCCTGACCTACCACGTTTGTAACCCTAGCAAGCATGTCCACTTGAAATCCCATCAACGCCACTGTAAATACAGTATCAAAGCTGGTGCATTTAAGTCTCTCCTGAGTTCTGGGAGTAAGCCCAGAAGGTTGGTTCCCAGGGGACACACTCAAGGGTGTCACCTTGAGCCACTGTGGGTAAAGCACGTCTGAGGGTTTAAACAGTAGGTGGGGCCAGTGGAATCTATTTAATATACTCCTTTTCTTGGGTGGAGATGGGAGTTGGAGATCCATCATATGAGAATAGTCATTTCAAATGCATTACCAGAGTCATTTATTCAGATTCAAAAAAAAAAAACCTCCCATTTTATAGAAGGGAGTTTGCGCTTGAGGTTGGCTCTATTTTAAAGTCAGAATTAGACTGATATTTTAGTAAGTGGTTATTGTAGCCGTGGAGATACGGTGGCAAGGACAATCCAAAGTGTTCGAAGTCAAAGGACAGGGCAACCTGGGTGTGACAGTGTACACCTGTAATCCCAGAACTTGGGAGGCTGAGGCGGGAGGAGTCAGAGTTCATCTTGGGATATATAGTGAGTTCTGTGCCAGCCTGAGCTTTGTAGAGAGGCTCTGTCACAAGAAAACAAAACACAACACATCCAAGGGCTCACACACTAAAAGCTACAAGGAAGTTACAGCAGTGTGGACAGATGCACGCCTAGAACCTTCATTATAGTATCGCTTATGAAATTTAGAACATTTAAATGTCTGCTAAGCTGAAACAAAGCCAGGTCCATACAGGGCCTTACTATGGAGTCACGAAAGCTATGAAGGACCTTCCAATGCTGAACACCTGCTATGTGCCAGGCGCGTGACTCGGCTTATCTTGAACTTGACGGTGGGCTTGAGGAACTCACACAGCAGCACCTGAGTAACTTTCCAAAGCTGTGGGAGCAGGAGGCACTCCGTTGCACTTTGAATTCATTGGTCTCATGTATTTCAGTCCTTCCTTCACCTTTGGTCTAACCAAAACTTTGCCAATTTTAGGTTCAAAGAACAATTCTTAGTATTGTTGATTTCTTCCTATTTTTTTCATTCTCTCATGCTTTAATCTTTTTTTTTTTTTGAGAGTATCTCATGACGTAGCCCAGGCTGGCTTGGAACTCACTATGTAGACCAGGCTAACCTTGAATTTGGAGCAGTCCTGTGTTTTTGCCTCCTCAGTGCTGGAATTACAGGAATGAGCCGCCCCTAGCTCTCTTTAACCGTCATTGCATCTTTCTTTGCTCTAACTTTGGATTTGTTTTTTCTGATTTGTTGGGGTGGAAAGGTGTTCATTTAGTTCTCTTATTTCTTTGTTAATGTAGGCTTCGGTCACTATAAACTTTTCTCTTGGGTCGTTATGTCCTATTTTCAATGTTGTGACTGTTTTTGTTTGCCTCAAGATATTTTCCAATTCTCATTTGACTCATTTCTTGATCCATTAGTTATTGACCTTGCGTTCTACTTTACATGTTTATATATAAATTATATAGCTACTTGCAAAGAAAACTGTGTGGGAGAACACACGCTAGCAGATCTGATAGCCATGCAGAACCAAGAGTGTTTCCTTGAGTTTTAATCCTCTCTGCTCAATGTAACCTACATTTGTAAAAACTGTGTTATTCTATTTCTTTTTCTTAACAACATGCAAGAGACTCAAAGGATGAATCAGGAACAAAGCAAGTCAAGCAAACCAAAGTCTGGTTAGACGAGGGCAGATTAGAGTGGTTCAGTTGAGCGACTTGTTCAGAAACCTGGAGACCCAAGGTCCACATTTTTCAGGAATAATATTGCTCCTCTGTGAGCTAGGCAGGTAGACATTATGAACTTGGCCTTGTATCTCAATTGCTGTTTTTTAGAAGCGATGTCATTTCTTGACCTTGAGACCTTCCCTCTGAAATTAGTCTCTTTTCCATTTCTCCTAACAGCCCCAAACAAAAGACTCCCTCTTTGTTTCTTTTTAAATTTTTGGACCAAGATCAGCAGCACTGGAAATCTCTAGGATGGCCACACAAGCCTCTAGCATATTCTTGAGTGTGCTGCTGTCATGAAAAAGCAGACATGGAGAAGACAGTGTTGGGTATAGCCGTGTTCCAACAAAACTTTACTTATGAAAACCAATGGTGAACACATTTTAGTCCATAGGCCACAGTGTTCTGAGTTCTGATCCATGTTGTTTATCTTAACATAGTCTCAGTAGATTAAATTTCATACAAACTGGCGGTGGTATTGCATGCCTTTAATCCCAACACTCAGGAGGCAGAGGCAGTTAGAGCTCTTTGAGTCAGAGGCTAGCCTGATCTACATAGTGGTTTCTATGCCAGCAAGAGCTACATAAGGATACCCTGTATCAAAAAAAAAATATTGTTTTCATATGGTACCTGTGTTTTTCTTTTTTTTTAAAGAATTGTAAATATGAATATTTAATATTTGGTAACAATGAATTACTCCTTTTTCATATGTGATAATGCTTGTGGGCTTTTTCTAGTCAGTTCTTTTTTTAAAAACAATAAATTATTGAGAATTTCATACAATGCATATAAGGTATTCTGATCAAATCTATGCTCACTCCCTCCCTTCCAACTCCTCCCATATCCCCCCATCACTTTTTTCTGATAATTTCATGTACTCTTTCTTCTGTGTTTTTCAATAATGTGCAGAAAATAGGGAAAATCCCATATGGCTAGGATGGAAGGTGCTTGTTTCTGTAGGCAACACTGTCCGGAGTGCAATCAAGTCACGGGTGTTTACTGAGCACTTGTCAGACGCTCCCTAGCTCTGGATCACACACAAATATTACAGTATAGTGCACACAACTTGAGAGGATTTACAAGCTAATTGGAAACAAAAGCTAGCAGAGAGCAAAGGTAGAGATTAAAATAGCTTACAACTGGCTCTAGTTCCGGGAGATCCTGGGGATGGAACTTCATCTCCCAAGTGGCAAAAGACCATGGTGGGCGAGATCCAGGGTCAGAGTTTGGCAAGTGGGCACAGTGGAGGTGAGAAAGGCAGTTCTGAGGGGCTGGCCTTGTGGCTAAACCTGAGAAAGCCATTTTGTCCAGTCAAGAGAGGCTGGCGGACTATACATATATTTTATCACCAACACCTTGTATTGAAGCATAGTACTTACACTTCTAATTATCCACTGTTACTTTTAGAGAGAAAGGATTCTGAAAATGAGTCAAGCCGCCCGTCTGTGGTGGGTTTATAACACTGTTCTGCTCTGCAGAGAGCCAGGGTGATAAACACATGAAATATATCATGCTCACATTGTGTGTCTATTACATGAAGACTAGAAGTGTCTTTGCCTACTAGAGCAGAAACTACAATGTTTTATTATTTTTAGATTTATTTTAACTTTTAAAATTATATGTGTAAGTGGGAGGGGGTAGAGTTAGGGTATGTGCACAAGTGCAGGTGCCCGCAGAGGTCAGAGGCATTGGATTCTCCTGGAGCTGGAGTTACAGGTAGATGTAAGCTGCCCAACCAATGTAGGTGTTAGATGCTGAATTGGGGTCTTCTGCAAATCAGTACGTACTTTAACCACTTCTCCAGCCCCTCTATCATGTTTATGTTTTAAATCTTTCTTTCCTTTAAATACATAACTTTAAGCTGTGGGAATTAATATAGAACTGTCCTAGAAGTAATTAGAAAGAATAAATAAGCAAGTGAAAAATAATACCATCGTCTTACCACCGACAGATACCAGACATTCCCGTTTGATTTCAAAGCCAACAGATTTCTTTGGTGAATCCTATACATTTAAGTCGCTTCTTGCCTGATACATTTCCTGTCTCTCCAGGAGTGGTAGGTGACTGGATAAACTACTTCACTCCGAAGCAGAAAACAGTCTTTGATGAACTATTCGGAGAGAAAATGAAACACAGTGAACTGGGAAGATGCTTGCAGGAGTACTTGTAATCTAGACGAAACCGGTTTCCATTTTCTGCAGTGTGATGCTGGGGAACTTGTAAATATTTTTACTGATACAGGAAGCACATATTTCTTTTGTTGAGAAACAGATATTTCATGAATGTTTCAAAAGTGCCGTGTATGAGTGACTATATATATATATGCATCATATTTGGTGGTAGCAAAGAATTATTAATGAAAGAAGCATACAAGTCTTGAACAGCTGAATTATTTCTCGATTTCCAGAATATTCAGTAAGGCCAAGGGATTGTGTCTATTCAGAAAGAACATATAGCTATAGGTGCTTTATAAGCTTCAGTGGTGTAGAAAAACAGAGGTGAGGGACTATCTAAGGTAACAGATACTTGAGAAAACTTTATTTTCTTCTCATTTGGACAATCATGGCCTGTACACCAGCATTTTTGATTTAACATTTCCAAGTCTCTGTGAAGAACTATCTTCCATTTCAGAGTAATGACAGAAACAATCTTACTAAAATACCGAATACCTGTGTCATCTCAGGTGGGTTGGAAAGACTCTTCCACAGGTGGACGTTCCAGAACTGTCTTACTCTTTTAAATTTACAGTCTTAATTAAATTACCAATTTTCTTATGATCTACCATAGTACTTTGAGTACATATACTTTCTCCCAGAATCACTTCCAACACTAATCCAATCTCTAAAATTCTCTCCTATGATTATTATTCTGTAGTTTTAATTAGAGGGCATTGGAATAAAAAATCAACGGCCTTACTTTAGCATTGTTTATTACCCACATGACAATACACAGATCATGTCAGTGTTTACGTCTGTCATAGTACCTAACTTGAGGCTTAATGGAAAATTAAAACTGTATGCTGTGTACAAGGCTCCATTACGAACTCAAAGCAATAGACTGACTTGTTTAGTCCAACTGAACATGTTGATTTTATGCCAAAATACCTGTGTCATCTCAGGTGGGTTGGAAAAGCAATAGACTGACTTGTTTAGTCCAACTGAACATGTTGATTTTATGCCTCAGTGCATTGTGAATATAATTTTTTAGTGATTAATCTCTTGGAGTCCTTTATATTGCATTTATGACGCATTGAGAAGTTTGATCGTCATATATCTTCTGTACACATGTATTTGTTACAAATAAAATGCATTTCTTTTGACTTCGTGCAACTTTTTTCTTCAAAATAAACATTTCTAATGGTTGACTTAAGACGCTTCCATTCATCAAGTAGATGAAGTTATTGAAAGACAAAAGCAGTTGCGGGGTGGGGGTGGGACGGGTGGGATCTTGATCCGGTCTTTACACCAGAGCTAAGAAGACACAAGACTGAGCTCACACCACGCCTGCTCTTGACTACCAGGGAACGGCAAGGCCATCAGCCTCAGGTAAAAGAGTCTGATGAGGCTGCCAGATACAATTGTGGTAACACTGCAAACACCAAGTCCCTGGATTATCTCTCATGGCACTAAAATGACCATGACATCAAGTTAACTAAGACTAATAGTCCATGTCACACTATCTTAGATCTGTAAGGAAACTTCTCCATGCTGCAACTCAATTTTGATAAGGATTTTCTGACAGTCAATACTCTGTGGGTGTAATCAAGATCCTTAATTCTCAGTTCATGACCAGCAACCCAAAAATATTTATGAGTTGCACGTGCAACTGTTTATGGCCAGGGACACATGATGAAGTTGAAAGAATCCCTGCTCTCCAAATGCTTGCACTCTAGCGGGTATCCATATGTAATTATTCTAAAGAAGCAAACTTATAAGACCCTTCGGGTACCAAGGTGCGACAGGTAAAGAAGATCCAAATACAGCGATGCAGTGGTAGGGGTTGTAGAGCTGCCCTGTCAAAGGATCCAGGAGGTGACGGAGGTGACAGAGCACCTCAACTGCAAATAAGGTGTGGGGTTACAGGTATGCAAGGATGGCAAGGAGACCAGGTTCCTTTCTGGATCTTCCTTCCAGAATGAGATGTTCTGACAGGCACTTTGACAAGTCACTCCAACTACTAGATGGAGAATGGACTTACAGGGTCTGGAAGGAGGTAAAGATATGTGGTATTTCATTGGTTAGGTAAGAGAATATGGTGGTTTGGGCTATGATCATCACAGGACTAGACATGGTCAGTTTAAGGACAGGACGTGAACACTGAACGTTCTAACCTACTAATGTATGAGAAACAGATGGATGATCAGATGGATAAGGCTAGGTTTTCAGCTAATTGAGTCAACTGAGCTGTTTGCTTTGATATGAAGGGTTGGTAGAAAGTTTAGAAAAAACAATTCATTTTTCATATGAAACTTTTATTGGTGTCAAAGTATGTATGTTCTTTGTACCTAGTGTCGGTGCTATGACATGTTTACCAGAGTTTTTGTGCTTTTTGCTTTGGCTGTATTGACCCTCAAATCCTCCCCTTCCTCTAGTTTCACCTGCTAATTTCATGACATATATATGTGTATTTATAAGTGTATGTGGATATGCAAATGACTGTATGTCTCTATATAAAACCTAGACTCCACAAACGAGAGGAAACATGATATTTAGCCTTCTGTACCATTTCATACAATATAATGATCTCTAGCTGCATTCATTTTCCTGTAAATGCGATTTTCTTCTTTATAACTGAATCAGCTCTATCATGCATAGACACCGCATTTTCTTTATCCATTCATCTGTTGATAGATGTTGTGCTGGATAGCTTTACTTGTCAATGTGACACACCTAGGTTCCTTTGGGCTGGGCTGTGGCCACATCTGTGGGGTATTTTCTTGATTGTTGATTGATGTGGGAGGGCCCAGCCCACTGTGGGTGGTGCCACCCCTGGGCAGGTGGGCTGGGTTTTATAAGAAAGCAGGCTGAGCAGAGGCCAGAGGAGCAAGCCTCCCCTGGAGGGGAGCTCCTCCATGGCCTGCGCTCCAGCTCCTGCCTCCAGGTTCCTGCCCTGAGTTCCTACCTTGGCTTCCCTCAGTGGTGAACTATGACCTGTGAGATGTAAGTCAAATAAACCCTTTCCTCCCCAAGTTGGTACTGGTCAGAGTGTTTTGTCACAACAATTGAAGGCACAGTAGAACAGATGGCTGAGGCTGACTCCACAACCCAACTGTTTCGGCAGGTGCAGCAACAGGCGTGGATGTGCAAGTGTCTTTGCAGTGTGTTGCCTCAGGGACCCTCAGGTATATACTTGAGAGAGATATAGATTGGTTATATGGTAGTTCTCTTTTCTTTCTTTTTCTCTTTCTCTATTTCTTCCTCCCTCCCCTCCCTCCCTCCCTCCTTCCCTCCTTCCCTCCTTCCTTCCTTCCTTCCTTTCCTTCCTTCCTTCCTTCCTTCCTTCCTTCCTTTCTTTCTTTGGTATTTTTGAGACAGGGTCTCCCTGTAACTCCAACTGGCTTGAAACTCACTATGTAGACCAGGACCAGGCTGGCCTTGAACACACAGAGATCCGCCTGCCTCTGCCTCCTGAGTGTTGGGATTGATTAAAAGCGTGCACCACCACACCTAGCAATTTTGTTTTTAGTTCTTTGTTTTGAGACAAGGGCTCATTGTACAGCCCTGGCTGGCCTGGAACTCACTATGTAGTCCAGGCTGGCCTCAAAGTCACAAAGATCTACCTGCCTCTGTCTCCAGAGTGCTGGGATTAAAAGCACGGTCACACCTAGCAATACTATTTTTAGTTTTTCTGAGGAATCTCCACATTGATTTCTATAATGGCTATACTACTTTCAATCAGAATTCTGCTATATAGCCCAGGCTGGTCAGAAGTCTGCTTTATAGCTCAGGCTGTTCTCAAATTCATAGCATTCCTCTTCCCAAGTGCTGGGATTACAGGTTTGTGTGACTATGATTGTCTAAAAAATGTTACTTTGGGAGTTGCTTCTTGGGGACAACAAATATGACAGAATATACTGTCAATGGATTTTGCATTAAGGAAGAAAAAATTGAAATATTTTTTAGGGCTCACTTACCTTTTATTTCCCCCTCTGTAAATTTCAGGTACAATCAGGCACCTCCTCAGTGTGCATCTGGTTTTGTAAGAATGCTGTTCTCCCTAGCTATAACCACCTGCTGTGTGTCCTCCTGTTTCCGGGGTCAGGGCAGGCTTTCAGAATGAACAAGTAGGTTCTAGAGCATTCTGTCCCACCTTACTGCTTGTCCTTTGCCCATTTCCTGGACCATTGTTCACATCACAGAAATAATCACCACTCCAGCTGGCCAGGTAGGTTATAAATCAGTTCCTACAGTTCTGGGGAAAGTCTGCCCACTGATGACCCTTGGCTCGGAGCCCACTGGGAGGTTCCTTTGTCACAAATCCTGGGTCTTTTGCCCTGAACTCTGACCCCTTTTGCCTTTTCACTTCTTCAAACTATAGAACAGTTTACCAGGCATTTATTCACCCACACTGCCCTCCACGACTCTCTCGGCTTCTCACTGTGGCTCACTGTTCTTTCTTTGACTGCCCTACCATCCCTGGCTGTCAGTGAGTAACTGCTGAATCTGAATGCTCCTTGATCTAAGGTGTCATTCACTCAGCTAGCACTTTCTCTGGTCCCAGCATCTGTTGGTGCTGATTGCTTTTCCTTTCATTCTGTTTACCACTAGTTCCATGGAAGCCTGTTGGGTTCTCCTGGCTCCGCGCCCCTTCTCTTTACACTCCCATTGACTCTCTGTGTCCCTTACAATTCCCCTTCCTACTCTAGCCATTCGGGCTTTGTGCTAGAAGGTAGATATCCATCTCCTATCTTTTCTAGCTAGAGTCTGTCTTTTTATTTTTGTGTCTTTACCATGCACAGCCCAGCCCAGCACTTGTAAGAGATATGCAAGAAATGTTGGTTGTGAACTGAGTTCATGGACAAGCTTCAATACTTTGTCTTCCAGAAAATTCAGTTCTGATACTGCAACCCACATGGATCCCATTTTTGCATTTGCCTAGTTTTTCATGTCTGTATTTGTTGAGTTTTAAAATGGAACTGTACCTTCCTTTCCATTGTTTAAGCTCTTTCACA